CCGGCGCCCGGTTCGAAGGAGGTTTTTGCGTTGGATCTGGGTGTTAATTGGGATATTCTCTGTTGTGGGATTGGTTTTGATCATAGTGCAACAAAATTACCATGAAGATCGGATTGAGCAGCCAGTTCTGGTAAGGATAAACGCTACCCATATTCTCCTTGTTCATTGTTTGTATCGGTGTGGATTTTATTTGTGTGCTTTTATTTCTCATATGATTGTAGCTCGATGATTCTTAAAGCTTAAGAAGTTGGTGCAATTGAAAAAGCTCCTTCTTTGAATTGAGTATTTTGGCTTTCGATGTTGGCCGGTTGTAAATTCAGAAAACTGTTCATTTCCTTCCTTTGGTCAAATTGATTGTAATTGATGCTGTTAACTGTTGAATTTGAGAGCTGGCATTGGTATTGCTCAGTAATCTGGAGTATATATACCAGGTGCCACGTTTTTATCCCACTGTGTGTTAAAACTACCATGTTTATTATGGATTTGTCATTAGAAGTAGAAGATCATACTTAAATTATAGTATGAAGCTTCATTTGATATGGTTGAAAACTATTGTTAGATTGCTGTTGCTACTTCTAAGTTAAAATTATGTGGGACAGCCCTATTCAATATAACGCTGGGTTTGGTTTTGATGCGAAGTAGAACATGGTAAAAAAATGAGAATCTAAGATGGTCTAGACATTTCTTCAAATGACAATCTTATGGAGGGGGAATGGAATCTAACAGTTTTGGGGTTGTTTGCATAGTGTTCTTCTTCTTCTTCTTCTTCTTTTCTTTTTTTTTTTCTTTTTTTAACAATTTCTTAATATTCTACCAGTTGGTCATTGTTTCATACGTCCAAGTTTCGGAGTGTTGAATAGAAGTATAGAACCTTATATTTCTAAAAAGTTGGGAGAATCATTTACTTGAGAGTTTCTCCAATAATTAAATTGACAAGAGGGAGGCCCATGTGACATTATGTGCTAGCATATGGGTTATTGGCTTTGTTCACCTGCCCCTGAATGATGCCTGTGTTTCTCCCTTTTTGGGATTGGTGTTGTACTGTTGTTTCATAAAACCTGTTTGCTCCAGATTTTTGGATTTTTTAGTGTTGCTAGAGATTATTTATTTTCTTAAATTAAGCCAATTTCTTGATTTGGAATTAGAGGTTTGTTTCTAGGTAGTTGCTTCTGAAGAAATAGAGTTAGTTGGGTACCAAATACCAATGATAATGGCTTTGTTTAATGTACTATCAGTGTGGATTGCTGGTCACTTCAAATGGAATCTCCAACTTCATTGGTATAATTTCATATAGATCTGACAGCATATGAACTTAATTAAATTATACATACATGATAATACTTTTCTATTCCTGGCATTACAGCAACCCTGAGGTGTTGTATCTGCTGTGCATAGGCCTTTCTGATAGGTTTATGACTACGGTTAATTTGCAACTATATTTTATTAATAAGTTTGGTGTGTTTTGTTCTTGAAATTGAAATTCACAATTTGGTGTATGATGTCTGTGCTGGGACTTATTTTCATATTGAAATTGAAAATTTTTTTTAATGGAAAGGGCTTGGAGAACCTTCCTGTCAATTTTATTGTTCTGTGTGGTTTTCACGTTGCTCATGTCAACCTGATTTATTGCATTATGGTACATAGAAAATTAAAATCTTTTGTGGACATTTTTTTGCATGTAAATTGTATTTGATTTTTTTTTTTAATCAGCATTGTATTTGATACTTTTATTACTGAATTTGTGAAACCGTTCATTAATGATTATTTATTTGTTTACATACTCAGCCCTAACCTTCTGTTGCAGGATCAAAGATCAGGAGTGGAGAAGGTTGTTCGTGAGAGTTTTAATTTTACTGAAGAGATATTGAGTTCTAGCTCATATTCTCGGCAGTTGGCAGAACAAATGACACTTGCCAAGGCTTATGTCATAATTGCAAAAGAGCACAATAATCTTCACCTGGCTTGGGAACTTAGTTCAAAGATAAGAAGCTGCCAGCTTTTGCTCTCAGAAGCTGCAAAGAGAGGACAGCCCATTACACTAGATGAAGCAGAGCCTATAATTAGAAGTCTATCATCTCTAATCTTCAAAGCACA